TTGAGAATGACTTGGCCTTGGCGAAGGCGGAGGTCGAGAAGTTGCAGGTTGATCTCCAAGCTGTTAAAGTGGATTCGCTGTAAAAGTTTATGCAGGGCTTTGATGCTGCCACGGGTCAAGTGAAGTTCCTCTATGCTGATCTCGACCTTGGAAGTCTCGGCTACTTCAATGAAGTCGTGGATGGCGAGCTCGTGGACCCCCCGAAAGATGATTGATTTTGTACTCTTGCACGCTTGTGTTTGTTTTTGTGTTTTTGGCCTTTTGCATTATCCTTGTAAACTGAACAACTATGTTTTGATATGAAGTACTTTTCTTTTGACTTTGTGTGTAAGTAGAGTTAGAATACATACTCCGTGTTTAGAGCTTAAGCGCTTGTTTGGCTAAAATGTGGCAAAATTTTGCTAAGTTAGAAATTAAAATTGATGACCGGATCGCCCAAATGCCAATCATAAAATATGGCAATAAATTTGCTAAGTTAAAAATCAAAATTGGTGACCGAATCGCCCAAATGCCGATCATAAAATGTGGCAAAATTTTGCTAAGTTAAAAATTAAAATTGATGTATGGATCGCCCAAATGCCGATCATAAAATGTGGAAAAATTTTGCTAAGTTAAAAATTAAAATTGATGACCGGATCGCCCAAGTGCCGATCATAAAATGTGGCAAAATTTTGCTAAGTTAGAAATTAAAATTGATGACCGGATCGCCCAAATGCCAATCATAAAATATGGCAATAAATTTGCTAAGTTAAAAATTAAAATTGATGACCGAATCGCCCAAATGCCGATCATAAAATGTGGCAAAATTTTGCTAAGTTAAAAATTAAAATTGATGTATGGATCGCCCAAATGGCGATCATAAAATGTGGCAAAATTTTGCTAAGTTAAAAATTAAAATTGATGACTGGATCGCCCAAGTTCCGATCATAAAATGTGGCAAAATTTTGCTAAGTTAGAAATTAAAATTGATGACCGGATCGCCCAAATGCCAATCATAAAATATGGCAATAAATTTGCTAAGTTAAAAATTAAAATTGGTGACCAAATTGCCCAAATGCCAATCATAAAATGTGGCAAAATTTTGCTAAGTTTAAAATTAAAATTAATGACCGGATCGCCCAAATGCCGATCATAAAATGTGGCAAAATTTTGCTAAGTTAAAAATTAAAATTGATGACCGGATCGCCCAAGTGCCGATCATAAAATGTGGCAAAATTTTGCTAAGTTAGAAATTAAAATTGATGACCGGATCGCCCAAATGCCAATCATAAAATATGGCAATAAATTTGCTAAGTTAAAAATTAAAATTGGTGACCGAATCGCCCAAATACCGATCATAAAATGTGGAAAAAATTTTGCTAAGTTAAAAATTAAAATTGATGACCGGATCGCCCAAGTGCTGATCATAAAATGTGGCAAAATTTTGCTAAGTTAGAAATTAAAATTGATGACCGGATCGCCCAAGTGCCGATCATAAAATGTGGCAAAATTTTGCTAAGTTAGAAATTAAAATTGATGAATGGATCGCCCAAATGCTGATGGCAATAACTAATGAAAGAATAATCCAAGTTTTGAATGTGGAGTGCAAAAGGTCGTCCATACACCGATCTGTGCTACCATTAAGAAATAATCCAAGTTAAAAATTCAATGTCATGTGGGATGATCGCCCCATTCCGAATCATTTTGGTGAAAAAATGATCAAGTTACAGCATCTAATGAGTTATTTATACTCGCCCAGTCGGATTTTTACCAACAATCATGAGTTTCTGTCTTCGAGTTATTTATACTCGCCCAGTCAGACTTTTGCCGACAATCACGAGTTTCAGTCTTCGAGTTATTTATACTCGCCCAGTCAGACTTTTGCCGACAATTACGAGTTTGTCTTCGAGCTATTTATACTCGCCCAGTCGGACTTTTGCCGACAATCACGAGTTTCAGTTGCTTCTGTATAAAACATCAAAAATCATATGAGGAATAATGATATTCATTGAATAGACGAATTATTGAACTGTGGTGCCTCGTTAAAAACCTTCTCAGCAAAAACCCCTCTTATTTTTACGAGGAAAAATACTGAGTTAGGAAAAGAGTGCACCTAATACAAAATAGAAAGAAAGACTAGCTATAATAGAAACGTAAATTGGCCGCGTTCCAAGTTCTCGGTATCATCCCTCCATCCAAGGTCCTAAGTCGGTAGGCCCCATTGCCGACTACGTCATCAACTTTGTAAGCGCCGACCCACTTAGGTGATAACTTGTTCCTCATCTGTGTTAGCTGAGCACGTTTCAAAACAAGGTCTCCTACGACGAAGTCTCTTGGAACGACCTTTGTGTTGTACTTGAAAGCTGCTCTTCTGTGGGCTTCCACTTGATTTATCCTTGCTCTCTCTCTTGTTTCGGCGATCAAGTCCAAGTCAACTCGTCTTCCCTGGTTTGATTCCTCTTCAAAAAAAATTGTGGTACGTACTGAGGGTTCCGCGATTTCAATCGAGATCATGGCGTCTATTCCGTACACTAAGTTGAATGGAGTGTCTTGGGTCGATGAATGAACTATTGTGTGATATGACCATAGCACTCGGGGAAGCTCCTCCACCCATGAAGCGCTTGAGTCTTGGACACGCTTCTTTAGTCCTGAGAGAATTACCTTGTTGGCCGACTCCGCCTGGCCGTTAGATTGGGGATGTTCGACGAAGGTAAATGTCATTCGGATGCCGATCTCGCGACAGAATTCACGGACTCTCGTACTTGCGAATTGTGTCCCGTTATCCGATACGAGCACCTGGGGAACGCCATATCTGCATACTAAATTCTTCCATAAAAATGTCTTCACCTTCTCCGCTGAAATGGTCGCTACAGGATCTGCATCAATCCATTTGCTGAAGTAGTCCACAGCCACTATCAAGAACTTCAACTGTCTCACTGCAATCGGAAATGGACCGAGAATGTCAATGCCCCACTTGTTGAATGGCCAAGGAGACAAAATCGAGTGGAGTCGTTCAGCTGGGGAGTGGTGTAGAGTTGCATGCCTTTGACATCCATCACATTTTTGAACCCAATTGACATAGTCATTTCTCAGACTCGGCCAAAAGTAGCCTGCCCTCGCCACTTTGTATACCAGAGCTCGTCCTCCAATATGACTTCCACACATTCCGCTATGTACCTCGTCCATCACTCTCTACGCTTGTGACATGGTCAAACACCTTAGAAGGGGAAAGCTGAAACCTCTTCGATACAATCTTTCATTGATAACTACGAACCTGGCTGACTCCCTCTGTATCAGTGACGCCTCCTTCTTGTCCTCTGGCAATTCCCCCCTAGTCAAGTATGCAATGTACGGTCCCATCCATGAATCGAGCTCTTCTTGGATGAAAAGAACACTCCCTTGTGGTTCATTAATACTTGGTTGCGCTAAGGTCTCTTGGATGACCGACCGGGTGGCTCCCGGCTTCTTTGTGCTAGCAAGTTTGGAGAGCAGATCGGCCCTCGAATTTTGCTATCGTGGTACGTGGTTAAGTGTGAACTCCCGGAAATTTTCTGATAGGAGCTTGACTTTTTCCAAGTACTTTGCCAGTTGAGGGTCCTTTGCCTGGAAAGTGCCTGCTACCTGCCCCGTGATCAATTGAGAGTCACTTCGTGCTGATAAACTCGTCGCCCCCATTTCCTTTGCCAATGCCATGCCGGCCAACAATGCCTCGTACTCGGCCTGGTTATTGCTTGCTCGGAATTCGAAGCGCAATGATTGTTCTAACAAAATTCCTCCCGGTCCTTCCAAGTCGATCCCTGCTCCACTTCCTCCAAGGTTTGACGCTCCATCCACTGATAGAATCCACTGGGTCTCTCCGACCTCGCCCTCATCGGCGGGAGAGGTCAATTCCATAACGAAGTCGGCTAGTGCTTGAGCTTTGATTGCTCCTCTCGGCTCATACTTGATGGAGAATTCTGATAGCTCGACCGACCACTTCATCATTCTACCAGCCAGATCGGGTTTCTGCAGGACCTGTCGAATCGGATAATCAGTTCGGATTACCACCTCGTAGCTCTGAAAATAGTGTCTTAACTTCCGTGCTGTAACTAGTATTGCAAGAGCCAACTTCTCAATCTTTTGATACCTTGCTTCTGCCCCCTGTAGGACCCTGCTTACAAAGTAGATAGGAGCTTGTGAACCGAACTGACCGCCCGATCGGAAGCCGATATGTAGATCAACAAAGGGAGGTTCATTCGTGGTTTTGTTAGGATCGACGGTGATGCCAGTGATCTCTTGAGTTCTGTGAAAGCTTCTTCACACTCGGTCGTCCAGGCAAAACGATCATTCTTCTTTAGACATTGGAAGAGTGGCAGCGCCTTATCGGCCGACCTGGACAAAAATTGAGATAACGACGTCATTCTTCCCGTTAGTTGCTGGACTTCCTTCACCGTGGACGGACCCCTCATGTTGATGATGGCTGAGGACTTTTCCGGGTTTGCTTCAATGCCGCGATGAGGCAGCAGGAAACCGAGGAACTTTCCTGCCTGGACCCCAAAAGAGCATTTATCGGGATTCAACTTGAGCTGGTATTTGATGATAGTGTCAAACAGCTCCTGCAAGTCGTCGAAATGTCGATTGATGCTTTCCGACTTCACCACCATGTCGTCCACATAAGCTTCCACGTTCTGACCTAGCTGATTCACAAGGACCTTGTCCATCAGTCGTTGGTAGGTCGCCCCCGCGTTCTTTAGACCAAATGGCATGACCCTATAACAGAAATTGGCTTGATCGGCTATGAAGGCGGTCTTGTCCTCGTCTGCGGGATGCATTCGGATTTGGTTGTACCCCGAATAGGCATCCATAAAGCTCAGCAACTCGTATCCCGACGCCCCATCCACCAGGCAGTCTATGTTTGGCAATGGGTACGAGTCCTTCGGGCAAGCCTTATTAAGGTCGGTGAAGTCCGTACACATTCTCCACTTCTCGCTACTCTTGCGCACCATGACTACGTTCGCCAACCAGGTCGGGTATTGGATTTCTCAGACATGTCCTGCCATCACTAACTTTTGTGTCTCTTTCGCGATCGCCCTTCTCTTTTCCTTGCCGAACTTCCTTCTCTTCTGGATCACCGCCTTCGCGCTAGGGTTTAGAGCCAGTTTGTGGCACAAGAAGTCTGGATCAATGTCGGGCATGTTGCTAGAATGCCATGCGAATGCCGACACATTGTTTTTTAGAACCCTGATTAGCTTTTCTTCATCCTCAGGGGTTAAAGACGTGCCTATCTTCACGTTTCTCCCTTCCATCACCTCCACCTCCTTGAGATCTTCTGCTGGGGCGGGTCGTTGATCAAACTGTCCCATCCTAGGGTCCAGCTCGATGGAATGAATGTGTCTTTCATCCGGTGTGGTGTATAAACGTCTCCTCGCCTTCAAACTGTCCGAGTAGCACTTCCGGGCGACCTCCTGGTCCACCCTGAGGATTCTGACCTCTCCATTTGGCAACGGATACTTTACTTTCAGATGCGCAGTTAACACAATGGCCCCTAGTTTGTTCAGCGTAGGCCTGCCGATGAGTATGTTGTAGGACGACTGAGCATTCACCACTAAGTACCGAATAGTCACCGTCTTCATCTGTGAACCTTGGCCGAATGTTGTTTCTAAATCGGCGTACCCCTTAGCTATGACCTGATCTCCTGCGAATCCTACCAGGGTTCCCGCGTAAGGCACCAATCGGTCGTTGGGGATCTTCATTCCCACAAAAGCTTCCCAAAAGAGGATGTCGGTCGAACTTCCCTGGTCGACGAGGACACGCTTCACATTATAACCCATCACTATGGTTGAGATGACGATAAGATCGTCCTCGTGAGGAGCTACCCCTTCATAGTCGGCATCCGAGAATGAAATTTTCGGCTGAGTTGATTGGCGGGTTTCTGACAGTGACAAGTCAGAGCGCGTGTACCTTTTCCGTGCGGCCAAGGTGACGCCTCCTCCTGCAAATCCTCCCGCCACTGTATTGAAATCCCCATGGACTGCTTGCTGATGGATCTCCGACGAGCTTGCTGGGGTGTCCTTGGGGGGAGTTCTCTCTCTATGCCTATCCCTCCTTGTGTCGTCCTGCGTACGCTGGTGTCGCCTCTCTGACGAGCCTTCTTCCTGTTTTCTCGCCACGAACTTTTTCAGGCATCCCTCCTTGATCAAGCGTTCAATCTGCCTTCCTAGGACGAAGCAATTTTTCGTAGAGTGTCCGTGAGTCCTGTGAAACTCACACCAGTCGGTCTTGAAGGGACCCAATTGGCGCTTCGTCACTGCTGGAAATTCGAACAATGTTGCGCTATTAACATCATGGAGTATCTGCCTCCTGCCTCCTAGGGACGTTGAGTGGGGTGAACTTCTCCTCGTCGTTGGTACGTGTCCACTCTCCCCTTGGTCGACCTCCCCGATCGGCCTGTCGGTAATTGCCCTCCTTCACGTTATAGCGGTCGCGTCGCTTATTCCAGTCCAAACGCGGTCGAAGATGTTTGCTGCTCTCCTTATTACTTCCTCCTAGCTCCTCTCGGCTCTCAGCAGCCCTTTTGTTAACCTGTCCTTCCTCCGTCTTGATATGACTCAGGGCGAAAGCCCTCACCTCCGACATCGTTTGACAGTTCGCTCTCTCCAGCGCGATGTCGAAGGCCCCGGACCTTAAGCCCTTCTGGAATACGATGACCGCCATGCTCTCATCCAAGGATGCTATTCTCAGGGCGACTTCATTGAACCTTTGCAGAAAATCTTTCAACGACTCCTCCCGCTGCTGTTTAAGGTCGAACAAGTCCGACGTGATCGGTGGCTTCTTCTTGTTAGCGGCAAATTGGGCCATGAAAAGCCGACTGAAAATATCAAAATCGGTGATGGATCGGTCAGGGAGACCACTGAACCAATCGAGCGCCGCCTTTTTGAGAGTCCCCATAAACAATTTGCAACGGACTTCCATGCTCCCTCCACAGATCAGCATTTGAGCTCGGAAGTCCGTCAGATGCTGACTGGGATCCTGGGTTCCATCGAAGGGTCCCACCTGGGGTATCCGATGGTCCTTGGGGATGATCTCGGCTTCTATGGCTTCCGAGAAGGGTCGAAAATCCCTAGGGACTTCCATCATGATGTCTTCTTCCATCGTCCTGGTACTAGCTGCTATTCTGGCCTGCATCTCATCCGCTCGTCTCCTGATCTCCTCGTTTTCTCGTTGAATGGCCTCCTCTCTCTCCCTGGATCGCGCATTCTCCTCCCTTAAGCCATTGATCATGGCCATCATCTCTTCCATAGTTGGTGGTTGCGAGTTGTTGTTGTTATTGTCGCCTCTCGCCATGGTAAAG